AATTTGTTGTTTCAGATATTTGGAATTTGTAATATTTCTAAAAGATACAATATAATTATATTTCTTGCGAAACTTTTTAAATTGTATAACCTAATTTTAGATTAACTTTTCTGTATTTTTAACTATTGCTTTGGTTTAATAAAAATTAAGTTTTTTTTGAATATCAGAAGTTGATTAATTTAAAATATTAGGAGAAATAGTTTCATTATGAGGTAAAGTAGAAATTGAAGGTTTAGAAGTCTTGTAAGAAAGGTAAAAAGTACTTGTACTAGTAAAAACAGGTTTAAAATATTTTTATTTTTTTATTAACATTTTGTTGAGGCATTTTTCAATTTTTTAGCCACAATTAAAAATTTTGGAGAAGAAAAGAATGGGTAAAAAGCAAGGATTAGTTATTTTATAATATATAAAGTTTAATAAAATAAACTTTTATACTTTCAAAGTAAAATATAACGAATAATAGCAAAATGAACTTTTTTTTTAAATCACAAGACATTAGTTTCTAGGGGATAAAAAAATTATTTCACAAGTATTTTTATAAATATCTTAATTTCATAGCTATACCATAAAATTTATTAATATCCATAGATTTTATTTGAAATAAATATAAGTATTTATGTTAAACTAAAAATATATATATGCTATAAATTAAATGTATATATTCATCTTTTATTAATCTTGAATATTTCATAATCATCTGCTTGAAATTGACCTTTTGGAATATCAATTTGAGAATAAGCAGATGGGTTTATAGCATACCAATATTTATCATAAAAACAAATATCATTACTTTTAATACTACCAAATACTGGACCATTATCTTGATAACAACACACAGCATATTTGGCATGATCATCCTTAAGTATACCTACTTTTGCGGTTTGAAGGTTTGTTCTGTTTATAAATGAGAATATAAAACTATCCTTAGTAAACTTATAATCATTTCCTTCCCATCCAAATGGATTATATCCTCCTACTATTTGTTCAGTTCCTTTTATTTTTACTACGACGATATTGGCCCCTTTGTTATCACATTTTTGATGAAATGCTGCAGCTGTATTACCATCTCTACTGGCACGATAAAGTAATTTAAAATCATAAGGCTTTTTCTTGTTATTATATTTTTTCTTATCAATCCAACTGGAAAAAAATGCTGCAACTGTATTACTATTTCTACTATCATGATAAAGTAAATTAAAATCATAAAGCTGCTTCTTATTAAATTTTTTCTTATCAATCCAACCAGAAAATATTGCAAAATGCCGAGAGTTGATTAGGATTGAATCATATTTTGACTGTCTAGGTGGTTTTATATTAATATTTAATTTCTTTTCTGGTGTTAAAGTATATTCTAATAGATTAACAACCAAATCCTTCGGTAGTAATTCTTTAAAAGGAAGTACTTTTTCAAGAAAATCTTCTGAAGAAATATGGTGAAACCTAACTAAAGGAATATATCTATGAAGAGTTCTTCCAATAACTGCAGTTTCTTCGTTGCTCCATTCTTTGACGTCTTTAGGAATAGACGGGTTCTGAGCAAAGCCCCACTTCATTATACTATTCCAAATATTAATTTCATCTAAATTTAAATCATCCCGTTTTAAAAGGAATTCTAATAGAGGAGCTTTTATATTGATGAATTTATCAGAATTAAAAAGCTCTTCGGGGTCTTCACAAATGCTTTCTAGATAAAAATTTCGTAATTTTGAGAAGGTATCATGTTGATAAATTGTTTCAAAAATTTCTATAGAATTGTTATGTAAAAACTCATGATGATTTTTAATTAAATAATCTTCAATGTCGGGAACTAACGTTTGGAGGTTAAGTGAACTTGCCGCTTTTAAGAGCTTTAATATTTCGGTTCCGTTTAATTTCGTCATATCAATCCTTCCGCAATATATAAATCTAAAGTTCTATCAGATATAAATAACTTGGTTTATATTATTATTGTATTATATTTACCTTAAAATAATTTTACAAAGATTCGGATGAATGTTGGGTATATTTAAAATAAATTTCCCTCCCCTCTTCTCAACATTTTCTTTAGTTAACTCATTATCAAAATATTGCGACCTGAAACACAAAATATTTGAAAGGGCATGTAGTTCTTCTTTAACGTTTCCATTTTCACCGGTATAAATAATAACATCATATTTTTTGTCATTTTCAAATAACCTTTCATAATCATCTTGCAAAATTTCTAAAGACATTTTATACAGAAAGTTAAGAATTGAAAAAGAAAAAAAAATCATTGAGAACGTCATATAAACTATATTTGTGTTACACCATATTAAGTTTCGTGTAATTAGATGATCATATTGTTATTTCCTAGTTTCGTAAGGGTAAGTAATTAAAAATAAATTATTGTGACGTTGCACGATGCACTGTAGCGAAAATTGGTTGAAAATCGAACAATTTAAAAAATTAACAATAATCGGATATAGGAAGGATGAAAAAGAATAGTTTATCAACAACTATTACTGCCTTTGCCGATGCTCTGAAATAGGTAGGTCTTCAGAGAATATAATGTTTCTAATTCAATACTATCGAAATTAAAAGCAAAAAGAAGCATTTTTATAATATATATTCTTTCCCAGGTTTTATTACGAAATTCCCTTAAAATATCATGGACAATTTAATTGAATGTCAAAAATTACTAAATTAACATAAAATCAATTGATTTCGAATAGTCCGAAGCATATCATATGATCCATTCCAGTAAAACGATTTTAGTTTTTTTCGGTTTTTTCGGTTTTTATTTCTATGATTTAATTTTTATTTAATTTATTCGAATAATGATTTTTTGTTCGCAATTTGAATGCATTTGATTTTTTACTTTTACATTCAATTATTTATGCCATAATCATATAATAATATCTCCATGTATTTTTGGTTTAATTTTGGCTTATACTTTTGGTAAAGAGGAATGACTGTACATACAGGAAATATTCGTTTTTCTCTGTCCGTTTCGTTTTCATATAATTGCCCTAAAATATTAAAAATACAAATTATAATTATGCATAATCTAAACTTCAACATTTATTTCTTTTCGATATATTTTATGTTAACAATCCCGTTGGATAAGTTTAATATACGCTTTAAATGATTAGTTGATTTATAAAAATTGCTTAGGAACTTTCTCCCATTTCCTTGAGAGCTCACAATACCAGTTTAGAAATGATGAATTTTTAAAGTTCTCATCTGCTGAGTCCGGCCAGAAACTCTGCTAACAGAACCGTTAAATAATATTATTAATAAAAACCTCACCACCGTCATAGTGCCGGCCCAAAATTAATTTAATAATTATCGTAGTATATGATCACATTATTATGAAATTCTCAGAGAAATTTATTCGTAATATTAATTCCTTTTATATACTTTTTGAAAATTAATTTAAATTTTTTATAATTTATCTAAAAAAGAGAGATAAAGAGATAGATAGAGTAAAGAATATTTTTTTAAAAAAAAGGGTGAAATACAACTCCGATAAATTAAATATTTATGATGACTTGACTTCCTAATTGCTTGTTATCAGCCATTCACTTATGATTTAAAGGATGTGAGTAGTATAATTAAAGGATGAAAATCACCTTTATATGATGCTAGTTTACATATTTTATAGTACATGAATAAATAAAGTTTTATATGATTAATCAAATTAAGCAATGATATAATTGAAAAAAAACAAAATAAAAAAAGTATCAAACATTATTCATAAAGAACATATTAAAGTAATATTGTCAATAAATCAATGAATCATTAGCTTATTTATTATCTTTCAACCCGCAAAAGCTTGTACACTTCTTGAACCACTTGTCGATTCTATTCATGCACTATGCCGATCCTATTATAAATCATAATAGAATATATGGTGAGTGCTGGGAAAATACCAAATTGATTTTTTTTTTAAAAAAAAGTTCCCAAGTAAAATAGATGTAGATTTGGTCATCTGATTCAGATCATTTGTTATTTCCAAAAAAATTTTTTTGTCGATTTGGTCCCTTTTCCCAGCACTCACCCCATATATGATCGGAAAGCCGCATATTTATCGAGTCATGAAGGCGAATTACATGAAAATCCTGGTAATAATAATAATAAAAGAAATCAGGTCATTACACATTTCTATTCTGGGCCCCTAAATTATTCGCAGTAACGTTTCAAAATAGAAAGTTTACAGTCATATTCGGTTCAGAACTCCGATACTAAGCGCTAAGTTTACGATTAACCAAGGTATCGTTTAAACTGTAGGGAATAATATAAGTGTTGTCGGAACGAAAAAATTTATATAATTTACAGAAATTTCAACATTGGCGAAATTCGGAACTAAAAGTTCATATTTTATGGTTAATCATCCGTTGTATTTTTTATGAGTACTCTCTATCATTATGATGGGATATTTCAGTAGTGATTTGAAATAAATTCTCACGATATAATTCTTTCTTCTCGAAAACGTCATTAAACTTGCGCTTTACTAAGCATATTTCACGTCAAAAATTAAGACATTGTCTTTTTACCCTTCCATTAGATTCGTCTACGGGGAATACTCCAGGTGGCGTAGTAATTACGCGACTGTTGGCTAAATTCTATAATTTTTTATAAAATCTTGCTTAAAAAAAATGCATTTAATTATTGTGAAACAATACTTAATAATAGTAATAAATCAAAACTCCAATTATTAGTCCTGAACAAAGAGGGAGGACTTAATAAGTTATTGAAGCGATGACACAAAATGTCTGTTTGCTCAAAATTTGAGTTGATACGAGATTGGTCTCTTTCATTACACTTGTGTTCTGGAATTAACAACTGTTTCCGAAAACATTTCCTAGTATATTAATTGAACTGGAATTTATCCAATTCAATACACTAAGGGTGAATTTAGTCCTTCGAAATAATCTTCTAAATTATTATATTTTTGACTTCTTTCAGATAAAAATGAACAGTTCGATTGTAATTCCTGCGATAGATATCAACTGAGTATAAGTTAATCGTTAATTTTAAATCTAATGTTTTGCGCTGACGAGAATGCTCTTCCCGTAAGGACCGAAATACGAACTTAAATTATCACGATCGATAATATAGCCGATAATGGTGGTAGTGTTGACACCTTAGAAGACCTGCAAGTAAAGAGTACAAAAATATCATACTTATCAGTCGTTTTCTCACGCTCTTTGTCAAAAGTTTCTTGGTTAACTTTAGGATCTTACACTGATGGCTTTCCATACGAAGCTGCTGCTGAGGATTTGCAAATATAATCAGATAAAATGAGTCTCCATAAGTCGATCCTGGTACGTTAATTATGCAAGCGGTTGCATCTTTGAGGTCAATTTCATATTTTTCATAAGTTGATTTTTGATTTTGAAACGTGCGCTTGTTTTAGTAAACGGATCTACAAAGTGATCTGCAAATGCAAAATTGATCTACAAAAGGGATTTGCAGAATTGATCAACAACAAAATACTAACATTTGGTTGTAATTTTGAATTGGGTGTCACTTTGTGATACGACTGTACAAGTTATGATTTTAATAACTAACAGAAAATATAAACCATATCAATCTATTTGAATATTTCCCAGCCACAAAATCAAACCAAAAATATATATAAAAATAAAAGATAACTTAGTCGAAAAAGAATTTATGAAAAACTTTCATAATTATCATAAGCATAATAAATATTTTATTAAAATGATGTTATACCTATTTTACATTTTAAAGTTAATACATTTGTAGAATAATATGCATATTTATTTTTTATTAACCTGAAAAACCTCAAAATCATCTACTTCAAACTGACCTTTTGGAATATCAATTTGAGAATAGGCATTTGGGTTATTCGCATTCCAAGTATTATTATAAAAACTTAAATCATAATCTGTAGCATAACCAAATAATGGACCATAACTTGATCCACAATATACAGCAAATTCATTCTTAATATAACCTACTTTTGCAGTTTGAAGGTTTGTTCTATTTACGAATGAGAACATAAAACTATCTTTGGTAGATTTCCATTGACCATTTCCTTCCCACCCAAATGGATTATACCCTCCCGCTATTTGTTCCGTTCCTTTAATTTTTATTATGACTATATTAGCACCTTTATTATCACATTTTTGATGAAATGCTGCAACTGTGTTACCATCCCTACTGGCACGATAAAGTAAATTAAAACTATAAGACGACTTCTTGACCTTATATTCTTTTTTATCAATCCAGCCAGAAAATATAGCAAAATGACAAGAGTTAACTAGGATTGAATCATAATTTACTAGAATTGAATCACATTTTGACTGTCTAAGCGGTGGTAAATTATTATTTAATTTCTTATCTGGTGCCAAAGCATATGCTAGGAGGTTAACAACCAAATCCTGTGGTAG